ACGGCAAGGAGATCCTATGTCTCCCCTCCTATTTGTAATTTGTCTTGAATATTTTTCCCGACTTCTAAACATGAAAACAAAGGTTTCAAGGTTTAACTTCCACCCAAAATGTGCTTCACTTAACATTTCACACTTGGCCTATGCGGATGACCTAATGTTATTCTCTAGGGGTGACAAGCTTTCCATTGAAGTACTTGTTAATGCCCTACAAGAATTTGGGGACGCATCGGGCTTAAGAGTGAATTGTAACAAGTCAAACATTTTTGTTGGGGGAGTTAATGAAAATGATTTGCAAAGTATTTTGGAGATAGTAGATTTTGGGCAGGGTGAATTTCCGGTCAAGTACCTTGGGATCCCTCTTGCCCCACTTAAAGTTTCGGTGGCACAATATGCCCCATTGCTAGACACGATTTTAGACTTTTTGAATGCTTGGAATACGAAATCCATTTCTTATGCTGGAAAGGTTGAGCTAATACGATCTGTGATCCAAGGGGTCCAATCGTTTTGGCTACAAGTCTTTCCGGTGCCGCGGACTATTCTTGACAGAATTGTCTCCATCTGTAGGATTTTCCTTTGGGGAGGAAAATATGCCAAAGTGGCATGGGATGATATTTGTCTCCCTAAAGATGAGGGGGGGTTGGGCATTCGTAATGTGAAGATTTGGAATCAAGCCCTCCTATCTCGTACACTTTGGGATGTGCATTTAAAGAAGGACACCCTTTGGGTGAAGTGGGTTAATGGCATTTATCTTAATGGTAAAAGTGTGTGGGACTTTTCCCCACACAGTCGTGATTCGAGCTTCATGAAAACTTGGCATTAATACGAGATAGGATTAAGGGCTGTTTTAATTAATAACCATAATGATACCATAATGGGGTTAGCCTCTAGATCTATTAATGGCAAATTGATTTCAAGCAAAATTTATGAACTTTTGAGAACTAAGGGAACGGTTAGGGTATGGATGAGCTTTATTTGGAAATCTTATATCCCTCCGAAGTTCTCCTTTATGATTTGGCTTGCTTTTAGAAATAGGCTACCAACACAAGATAGCCTCGGATTTATGTATATCGTTAACATATGTGACTTGTGTAAGGGTGACTTGGAAACAATGCCACACCTCTTTTTTCTGTGTCCTTTTACTTGCAGGATTTGGGAAAAGATCAAGGAGTGGATGGGCATGGAAAACCAAATGACTACGCTGCATAGCTCGGTCAAATGGATTTTGAAGAAGCACAAAGGCTTCACGTTGAAGGCAAAGGCTGTCCGGATTGCATTCTGTGCCGCGGCATATTATATATGGCATGCTAGAAACGCCTCTCGATTTGATGGAAGTATAAAGATGGAGGACGAAGTAATTGCGAAGATTAAACATGTGGTATATAAGATATTATTTTCTATATACCCACATGAAATGATTAAATTTTGAGGACAAGACTTGTGTGGTGGCCGCGGCGTCCACTCCGGGACTACTGTGTTTGCTCCTTGCAACACCACTGATGTTTTGCTTGGTAATGGGATAATCTTACATCCCGGCTACCTGATTTTTGCTTGATAAACGTTGATCCAGATGTGTGCTACCTTGCACCACTGAAGTGTTTTTGTAATGGGGGGTATTTGGTATATTATACTTAGGCCCCTTTGATTTTGTTTGTGAATTTGTGCTAGATCGAATAAAAACCTCTTCTTACCCCTACACTAGGTAGGGGTGGGGTTTTTTTAGGAGATCTAGAACCCATGATGTATAGTTTTCTTTGGGTGTTAATATAAATTTACATTTAATCCAAAAAAAGGGAAATGAGACCTTGAAGCATAGCAGCGCAAGCCGATCGAGGTTGTATTAATTTGGTCACCAATCCTGTAAAGCCGATCGTTGCTGTGCTCCTAGGGTTTTTAATCTTTTTTAGATTTGTGCGGCACTCCATCGGTTTTTATACCATGGGCTCATTCCACAGTGAGCATCATGCTCCACCCCAACACGACGTAGTTTTACACAATTTTTTAAAAAGAAACAATCGCGTGAAAGTATACGCGTGAACAATACATGCGTGTACTGTAGCTGTGTTTTTTTCATTTTGTTCTGGTAGAATGAATGATGTAATTCGCGTGTAAAGAAATGTAACTCACGTTGATAAAAAATGTAACTGCAGACAAGTCTAAATTTAACTTGTCTAATACGGATTATAAGAAATAAAATATTGATTTTAATGAAAATAAGCAATCTAATTACCCAATTACTTTACATAAATAGTGAATATGTTTTGTTTTTAATATTTAGACCATAAATAATATTTTTTTCTTCTTAAAATCATTTATTTTTCCAAAAAATCATTTTTTCGCCAAAAAACCCATTTTTTTTATAAAAAAAAAACTGTTTTTTTTGTTTCAATAGCAAGATATTACTTAAATAGTGAATATGTTCTGTTTTTTATATCAAGACCATAAAAATATTTTCTAAAAAGCACTTATTTTGCCTAAGAAATCATTTTTTTGGCAAAAAAAAAATATTTTTTTGCATAAAACTGTTTTTTTTTGTTTGAATAGCAGGGATTTATGATGTGATGTAACTCATGTTGTAGAAAATGTAACTCACGTTAATGGAAAATAAAACTTAGGTATATGCAAAATGTAACTTGTTAAGGCAAGTCTAAATGTAACTCTCATATAAGAAGATGTAACTCACGCATAAAAAGATGTAACTCGCGCATAACAAGGTGTAAATCCATAGACTATCAAATGTAAAGAATGAAAACAAGGAGTCTAATTGCCCAAATCTATTTACGTAAATAGTTAATATGTTTTGTTTTTAGTATTAAGGCCATAAAAATGTTTCAAAGGAAAATAACTTTTTTGCCAAAAAAATCATTTTTTTTGCAAAAAAAATATCATTTTTGTTTGCAAAAAAATGATTTTTTTTTGTTTCAATAGTTGGGGTTTATTTTGTAGTAAATATTTTATGTTGATTAGGAAAATTTTGTAATAAATTGGTAAAGAAAAAAGTTAATTTAATTGTAATTTAATTAGTTAAAAATAAATACTAGAAAACTCAAAATTAGTTTTTAATATTTAGATGGAGAGAAGAAAATAGTTGAAAGAAAACAAAAAAGAAAAATAAAGAGATAGTGCTCCAAAGAAATCTGGAGGGATTGAACCTTGAGAGGAAAGAAAGGAAACTAACGTATGTAGTGCTCCAGAGAGAAAAACGATGACGTTTGTGGTACCGGTATACCATGTGCATGGTATACCGGTACCACGGTATAATTTGCGCACTCCATCCTTCTTAGATTTGTGGACGGTCTTTTTTAAAATGAAAATTTTTTAAAGGGAGAAAGAGCAATTAGACAAACAAGGTAAATCTCTAAAAGCAAATAAGACATTAAGTTAATTTTAGGAGCAATTAGACCACTAAGGTAAACCACTAAGAGAAAATAAGACATTGAGCTAATTTTTGGGACAAAAAACACACTTATGATGTTTTACTTGGATTGTTTTCAGTCATAGATCAGACCAGATCAGATTAGACTTGGATAGTTATAAAGAGACCAGACGTTTACCAGACCATTTCAGACCATACTAGACTAGACCAGACCAGCAAATTTCAATTCAAGTAAAAAAATCAGTTCAGACATGGTTTTATTATCATTTACACCATTTATTAACAATTTCTAACATAACTCATATCTCCTCACTCCTTACTCTGTTAATTTTTTCCACTTTCACGCTAAAATTTAAAAAAAAAAATACGGGGACCAATGTAAAAAAATGAAAAACAGCTCTTCCTCGTGTTCTCAGTTCTATCCACACCAAATTGGAAATAAGAATCATTCTAATGTGCATTATATTACATTATTACTATACGTAAATAACGTAAGTGGTAATTTCATATCTAGCTTCAATTCAATCTCACATGAAATTTAATTAGCTTGGAACTTGGAAGATCTTCATTGCCCACGCCACACATTAGTTGTGAGTCTTGTGACACCTAAGAGACATAATTTTTAACAGCTAATAGTTTTAAAAATTTAAATTAATTAACTAGAAAATGACTCCGTAATAAATAATTTTAATAATCTTTCTATGCCTCAATGTAGAAATGTGATACAAGGGCCAAACAAGAAAGTATTGCATTTCATGCTGGCATATTTTACATACTTACTTTATTTTATTCTTCAGGTTCGCTTGTTACGTCTAAATTTGCTACTATTCTTCAGGAGTAATATTTATCTTAGTTGCATTGATTTTTTCAATATTTTTAGATAGAAGAATTTACATAGCTTGGTGTTTACATTATACATGATAATGTAACTTATTGACATGCTTAAAGTTTTGATTTAGTTAGTCTTAAAAAATTTTATAAGACCCCAAGCGTGATAAATAAAAAATTAATGGGAAGATGAACTGACAGTTGGCTTCTGTTAAGGAGTTTTAGGGAGTGGCCTAAATGATACGGAGTAATAAATTCATCAAAAATGTATTTTTTGCTCCTAAATTTAGTTTATTGTCTTATTTGTTCTTAGAATTTTACTTTAGTGATCTAATTGCTCCTTAAATTAGCTTAGTGTCTTATTTGCTCTTAGAGATTTACCTTAGTAGTCTAATTGCTCCTCCCTTTTTTAAAACTGCTTATCAAAAAACTTTTTCGTAACACTTCTACATCCGATTTAGAGAGAACCACATATGATGAAAATGTCATTGATATTAAACAACATTAGTTTGAATTAACCACAGAAGAAGAGTGGGAAAGTGAAAAGGCAAATAGAAATTAGAGGTATTAAACAAGTATTGATTTGAATTCACTTTAATTTATTCTTGTGATCACTATTACTAATTTGGATTATTTTTAAGAACATTCTAGGTATAGATTATGGACTTTTCCTAATTTTTTAAATTTGGTGTGCGCGGAGTAAGATATGGCACTGCGGCCTCTACTAAACCCCATATTAGTCCATTGTTCCAAATTCCAATACCTATCCTATGATTTCACCTTAAAACAGTTTAAAATTCTCACCACCCAAAAGATATTTTCAAAACAAATCACCTACAACAGAACAATAAACAAAACAACACATCAACACCAAAACATTCTACATTCCTATCAGTACATTCTACATTCCTATCAGTATGCCGTCACTATATCATAAAACCCCAAAACTATTTTCCATTAACTACTTATCACTTTTTATTCGCAAACCACCATTATAAGGAGTATTACATGCGAAGTTATAACATTAATAACAAACTAGCCTTGATAAGAAGAGGGAGATTTCTGGAGTATTTACTTTGTCACTATTAGTAAAGCCTTTGCAGTTAAATTGCATCCTCCGAACGTACCGTCCGATCGGGTTTGGAAGACCCAAGAGAAAGAGGTGCCATCCTTTTTTTTGTAGTTAAAAGGTTTCTGAAAAAGTACTCCGTAGTATGTAAACGCTTTCTAACAAAAGTTGTGTGTCCAAACACTTTCTGGGCAAGTAGTTAAACTAAAGAAGGCATAAAGATAGAAGGACAAGGAGAAAGTGTTTGGTTCAATCACAGTAAAAATAGATGAGACCATCCAAATCTGAGAGTGGGAAAACATTCACCGCAAGCAACCATTTTTGTGTTCTTTGATGGATGGTTCTCAAAAAGATTTCAAAGATTCGGTTTTTTTCTCATCTTCTTTCACTTTCCATTGATTTTCCTACCAGAGCTTCTTTGCCAGGAAATCCATTCCCAAAAACTGCTCCTTTTCCCACTTCTCTTGACTCCTTCATCGGATACATTGCCACTCCCTGTAAATCTGCAAGAACCAAATGCCATTCTGTTACCAGCAGAAGAGGAGGAGTCACGGTCTGATGATAAATTGCGCAGACTCCTCAGTGATGAAGAAAGGTCGAGTTTTATGTCGAGGAAGGATGCTGCTGATTCATTAGCTATGGAACTAGTGAAAGAATCGCTCTCTTTTGCAGGGAAGACACTTCGTGGAAATGGGAAGCTTCCCTTGTTCTCAGGGCGATCACCTCTGAACCCGCTCTTCCTAGCCTCCTCGGAATCAAACAAAAACTCACCCGTGACATCAGAAATCTTTGCGCTGGAGAATCTATACTGATCCGACCACCCATCGTCCCTTAAGCTGCAAACAGACCTTGACCTTGACACGCGCATTTCGTCAAACGCGTGGTGATCGTTCTCTGAGCAACTCTTCTCCCTTCTCTTCATGTTTCCCAACAGCCTCTTGATCTTCCAGAACCCATTGCTGCTTTTCTTGATCTCTGCACAGTTGCTGCTGCTCCGGCGAAGAACAGACGCGTCCTCTGTTTTGTCCCTCTTCCCCTTCGCCGGCGCCTTCCACTGATCCCGACCGATCTCATTCTCCATCAGGAATGAGATCCGGGGAGCCGAAATATCAGAGCAAGAACACGACGAGAGTCGATGTTCTCCGCAATCAGAGCAGATGAGCTTCAAAAGCCTTTCTTTCAAGCAGTAAGGGCAGATTCCAATAGATGAAGCGGATGGGTGTTTCTTGCATGCAATATCGGGAAAAGCATAGAAGTCGAACTCTGAGAAGTTATTGCGGCCGGAAGAGGCGGCATTAATCTCCACCTCCACGGATTTCCCCCTTTCTCTCATTGCTTTGATTCTCAATTACAAATTAAATAATCCGGCAGCGAAGGTTTTTTTTCTTTGTTTGTTTTATGAGCAGAAGAGAAACAGAAAGATGGATATGATGGAAGCGAGGTTGGAGTGGGTGAGGATGGGCAGACGTTAAGTTTACGCTTTGTTGTGGGGAAGAAACAGTAGTGGTGATTGAAAGGGCGGCGAAAGTGTGTCTCTCTGTCTCTGTCTCCACGCATCATTGAGCCCAGTTCAGGGATGCAAAAATCAAATGTTCCATCAACCTATTTTAAAAACTTTAAATATTTTTAACAATGTAGATTCTATGGTACTCATAAGGTAACCTTTGTCCACATGGATAAAGGTACTGGAGTTGTCACCTTTTAACAATGCTGTTTGTACACATTCTTATAACCACTTTTATATCCATCCATGTTTATGAAAGTTTTTTTATTTGTGAAAATCGATTCACAGATAATATTTTGCATAAAAAAAATTCACAAACATGATGGATATAAGGGTGTGTACATCGATCATTGTTGTATTTTTAATCCCTCCAAACCCATTCCTCTCTATTTTAAATTTTGTTACACGTTTTGATATACTGTCCCTATCCCTAAATAAAAGTTTCTTTTTTTTTGGATCGTTCCTAAATAAAAGTCTCCTTTCCTTTTTTGACAAACAAAATAGTGCAAAAAAGTGTCTAACAGTGTCCAAACAGTGTTAAACGATGTCAAAGAATCCCACTTTCTTAAGTTGTGTGTAAAACGAATGAGGGCTTTTAAATAGGGACGGAGGGAGTATTACTTAAAGAAAAATGTTGTTGGAGTCTATGTAGCGCAGATACTTCAGTAGGGTACTGTATCGGTATATCAAAAACGTTCTCGTATACAATACATGTATCTTACATTTTTAGTTGTATTCGTAATTTATTAAAAGTTTCCATTTTTTATTATTATTTTAAAATTTCAGATACTTGTATCCCGATGGGTACACGTATCAATTTTTGTAAAACACCCCACGTTTACCTAATAAAATTCTTAAAAACTGAAAAACTAAAAACAAATTTTACCTTGTTTAATTTCACACACAACTAAGTATATGGACAAAAGGTAATAGGAGTACTTTGATGGAAATGACTTTGTGGACATAGAGAATATAGGAGTACTTAGTTTGCCAATCTTCCCATTAATATACCAGATTTGGAGATTGTCTTTTTTGAAGATGATGTTATCCCTGAAAATTAGTAGTTCTAGTGAAAATATGTATTAGAACTTTTAGGAATGATCCAGATTGGATGTGTGTTAGCAATGAATGTGTGTTAGTCAAACACTCTTGATAATGTGAAATGCTTCAATGTCATGAATGCAGAGAGGTCATAGGATAATACATACATATGTTTTAAAAAAAACTTGTAATTTTTAATATTTACAAAAACATTCCATAATTTTTTATATTTGTAAACACTCACAACTTTTAATATTTATAAATATACGCTTTGATGGTCCCGGATAGAGGTAAAAGTCTAGAGGGGGGTGAATAGACTTTCAAAACTTTTTCGACTTTGAAAACTTTTCCCTTCTAGATGAGTTGATCTACAATCTTTTGGGAGATTTATAGATGCACAGCGGAAGTCTTTAACCTCTTAAATAAATAGTGTATAACAACTTTCTATGATGGATGAAGTTTGAACTTTAAACAGTGAGCAGTTGTCTTGGCAGTTGCCTGGATGGCAGGGGACTGCTGAGGCAATTGCTAGTGAGAAATAGGAGTTTGGGAGAGATGATTGTATGGCCTTATATGGAATGATGAGTGCTTTCTGAATGTGTACTGAGCTGTAGATGATAAGGGGTTTTGCATAAGCAGAGGTCTTAGCAGTTGGGTAGACCCAGGAAACTGCTAAGCCACCTACTGCGTATGAAAGAAGTATTTCTGAGAATAGGCAAAACAGACCTTTTAGTAGTGATGTTCCGAAGCTCTTGTGAAACAGGTGTCTCAAGAAAAAGTAAGTTATTACGGAGTAGGATAAGCAGTAGAGTCAATTAAGACTACTGCTTAGGATGTTGCTGGCAAACTACGATCCCTTTAATGAAGAAGTGTTGGGTGTGTGCTCTGTTGACTGAAAGTAAATCAACACACAGTATATCCTTGTTCAAAGGTGGTGTAATCCTCCTACATCCAGTCCCACCCTATTTCAGATGGATTTCACTAAAGTATTAAGCCCAATACACTTAGTGTCAATCTAGCCTTGACAACTCTGGCCTACATTGAGCGTGTTTCATGAGGAGTACAACACCACTCCAAGCTACTCAATCCTTTAGGTTTTTCTCAATTGATCCAGTGGGGATCAAAGGGTACTCCTGACCTATCAAACCACACTTCAGGCCAGGAACAACTGTCCTCCTGAGTGTTTACAACACCTTGTAAATTACAAGAAAATTCTGGTCACCAACTAAAAACTAAGCTCTAAAAATATGAAACTGATGATCTATCTAGTCTAAGAGCTTAGTGAAGCATGAGTCAAAGCAGAGAGTGAAGTTATGATCAAGCACTTTCTCTTTTGCTAGATATTCTTTGAATGCTTATAGAATTTCTCTGCTTTTGAACTCAAGAACTTGTTTTAGAACTCATGCTTCGGCCTTTATTTATAGGCGTCTCCGGTAGATTAATATCATCTGTTATTTGAGATGATTTAATCTTGTTCGTTGATTCTTTGTTTCAGAAGATACCAACTTGTTGTTCGTCTTCTTTTTTGGAGCCGATAACTTCTTTGTCTCTATTTGCCTAGCTAGCCGCTGCAGTTTTCTCTTTAGGCTTTCCACTTGACTGCTCGTCTCATGCTTTCGGTCGGTGTACGATTTTGCATTAAATGCCCTCCATGCTGGATTCCTTTTCTTTGATTGGCTCCGGATGATCACGAGACATACTAACAGTTTTTGTGTATTAATAAAATTTATACTGGTAGGATTTGAATATCCTGTTAAGGTAAATAAATTCACCTTATTTCATTTTTAATTTCCAGTATAATTTTATTAGTCACAAAAATTTTTCATTTATTTGTCCTCAATTATACACATGTAAAATTCATATCAATGTGTCTTTTACTTTTTGTGACGTTTGAAAATGTTGGTGATAAATTAAATATATACCGGTAGGATTTAAATATCCTTTTTAAGGTAAAAATTACCTTATTGCATTTTGATTTTTCCGGTATAATTTACTTGACACAAACATTTTACTTTTGACTTTTGGTCACTCAAGGTTTGTATGGCCAGCCAGTATTTCAAAATCAAACCAAATATTTAACTGGTAGGATAACAAATCCTATTAAGGAAAAAATCATTACCTTATTGCATTTTGTATTCCAGTTAAATAATAGTACATTCGAAATACTTTGTTTTCATTTGATGTGATATTAACAAATAAGTAAAGCTGGTAGGATCTATAAGAAATCCTTATTATAAGGTAATGGAATATTGCCTTATTGCATTTTGACTTTTCCAGATAAACTTATTTGTTAATTGACCATTTGAGCAAGACACTTTCAGAATTTCAAATTTAAAGAATTTGTTCTGGTCCGAAGGCAACAGAGACCCTCGCTCTCTGCTCCGGAGCAGTTCTGTCCGGAGTCAACAGAGACCTTCACTCTCTGGTCCGGAGCAGTTCTGTCCGAGGCCAACAGAATACCTGAAAGGTGTTCTGGTATGGAAGCCAACAAAATACTTTACTCAACAAATGTTTTACTACTCTCTTTCCCCCTCTTTTGGTAGCATTTCTGGTCCCCATTCTACCCTTGATTTCTTCTTCTCCTACTTGATGGTTCTCCAACACAGAAGCTTGCATCTATCTTTCTTTTCTTCTGTCTCCCCACCTCTTGTCTGATCATCTCAAGTTTGGTTTTGTAGACTCTGACAATCATTTCTTTGCAGAGAGCAAACTCAATGTTTGTCGTCTGCATCCATTCAAGAGCAAATCTTTCTTCTGTGCGGACGAAGTCGTAGGCGAGGAAAAGAATATTGAGTGGTGAAAATCTGCTGTTTCTCCACCTCATCATCCTTTGAAATTCTCTATCCAGAGCTCCTTTGTAGGAGTTGAATAGGATCATTGCTTCGATTTCAGCAGTTTCTTCTGCTGTGGCAGATTTTTGATCTGAAGGTGCGAGAGACAGTTCTAGGGAGATTTGTTTAGATGAGTTAGCCATTTGGAAGGAAGGATGTTTTGTTTGGAGTAGAGAGGAGGAATTTTCGAGTGTGAGGTAAGTTCAAAGGAGGAGAGGTATTTAAATGAAGTGTGCCGCTTCTTCATATTCTGATGTGGGTGGTAATCGAAGTAGGTTTAAGTTTTTCATTAAATGTTCTTACGGCCGGTTCTTCTTTTAAGACAGTGAGATGGTGTTTATTTAATGAACTCTCAAAATATCATTAATCAGGGTATTGAGTGAGCATCTTCGATTTCCAGGTGTCTTTTGTGCATGCTGCATGTAACCATAAATTCTTTCTGTTTTGAAGTCTGACACTTCCTTTTTGCATGCCTTGTTTCCTCAGAAATGGATAATTCTAGGATACTGTTTTAGCTTGTTTTATGGCTAATTTTGACAGTAATCAATAAAAATAGGATGCTAACTGTATTTGTAGGTAACTTTAATTTTATTAGAACACTGCAGGAAGCAGGATGCTCCTAATAAAATTAAGTTTCTACAGAATAGTAGTAAGTCATTTTCAATCCATATATGAGTTCATTGCTGAGTTTTTGTGGATCAATATTGTACCTTTATGAATCGGTATTTGATTTTTGATCTTCAGCAGTTTGAGCTAGTTGTTTGTCTTGACCTCCATTGCTAATGATCATGACTCTTTTCTTTGTGGTAGCGGGTTCCTCTGATTCTTCTGTTGAGTTTGTTGAGTCAAGATCCAGACTTCTCATCTTTTTGTCATCCTCTTTCCTTCTTTTTAGAGTTTCTGGTAAACCATAACTAATTCTCCTTTTGAACGTCTCCTTCTGTTATCCAGAATGTTGACCGATCTCTGCTATATTGATTTGCTTTTATTGAACAAATTCCACCTGATTCTCAGAGTTAGTCAAGTCATCTGGTTTCTGGACTTTGTCAATTGAAGTTGATTAGTTTGCAATTGAAGCCTAGAATACTCTTGAAAGAATAAGTAGCATTTTAGCAAACATTTCTTTGTTGCTCAAACATCCTGTGGGCTCTTGTTTCAGCCTATGATTTGAGAGTTTGCTAATGCTGA